AGCACGCATCGGTTAGATTTCCAGCGAAAACATTCTCAATTTTGTATGAGCTAATCAAGTAGTTTCGGCAATCCTTCTACACACAGTCAGTCTCCTCAAGTCCTTTTCTAGGCGGGCGAGACGCATGTTTCAGTCGCTTTCAAGTTAGCGCTGTCTATCTGCAACCTGCGCATGCAAGAGATTGATTTTTCTAGTACTGCATACGTCGAGTCCCAATCGAAAACGGCAGGAACTCATATAAGTGCCTTTGCCTTTCATTGAAAGCGAGTACAAAAAGGCTTTGACTTTTAATGCATTTGATACTGCTTGACTTCGTCTGCGTTTGCATCTGAATGGTGAAACATAGGCTGCAATCTTATTCGATCCTTTCGAACACGTAATTTTCAAACAGCCTTACTATATATTTCACAGTGGTCATACTGATCGAGTTCAGAACAGTGACAAATAATTGGCCAACGCACGGGCTGGCCGTGCGAAGATGCGCTTTTTGCATAGTTTCCCGCGGTTTTTATCTCTACCGGCATTAGTTTTTTTCGGCAAATGCTTCTAGCTGAACAAATTAAGACTGGCCGCCAGTGCTGGCAGGAAACAGCCCCTTAAAATTTCAGTTTTCTAGCTTTTCTGGCTCCTGAGTTATCACCTACTTGGGCGGGGAACATCCTCTTAAGATTTCAGCATTCTAGCTTCTCAGATCCGAGTTATGAACTTACCCGAAAAAAATTTTGCCAGCATCTATTACTAGAGGTATGCTACCCAAAATCGAGGGGCCTTTCATATTACGTCTGGCCTATGGAACTGTCCCGGTGGTGCAGCGAAAATGAGACATCCATAATGATTGTCGCGGTGGACTTAATCTCGATACTAGATAAAGTAATGCATTATGGTGTCTGTGTCGCTATGAGTTTTAGCCATACGTGTTTCCAGAATCGCTAAAACCGCCAGTATACAGAAAAAGGCTGTTTCTTTACGTTGCGGTCTCTGTCCCCTCATTTGAAATCTGTAGAGCAATAAATCCGAGATCATATTACAGCTACCTAGTGTGAATGCGCTGTAGGAAAGAGTACTCTTTGCTCGTCTCGCCTTCGCTAGGTAGATAATCCGTTCATTATCTTGTTCATACGGGGAATATACTCTTGCTTTGGATTGTACAATCAGGTATGGCGAAGTGACGGGGCACGTCCATCGCCTTAAAATGTTTTTGTTCGTCTATCAACCCCTTATGACAGCATGGCGGGGTGCGCATGCTGTTACAAGGTATTTTGTTAATAACCCTAGTGATGCCAGTGCTGCGTTGGTGAGACTTGAGGGTTTGGGAGAGGGGGCGAGTGAGGTTAAGGAGGGTGCGGGGGGATTCGGAAGGGTGCGGGAGTGGAGGACTCGGGAGGGGGCGGGGGATTCGGGAGGGCGCGGGGGATTCGGGGGATTCTGGGAGGGTGCCGGGGCGGAG